GATCCCCCAAATGGGTACAACTAGTTTTGCTTTTTTTTTTTGTTGGTCATGGGGCTTGAACTCTGGGCCTGGGCGCTGTCCCTTAGCTCTTCAGCTCAAGGCTAGTACTCTACCACTTGAGCCACTGCACCACTTCCAGCTTTTTTTCTGCTTATGTAGTGCTGAGGAATCGAACCCAGGGCCTCATGCACGTAAGGCAAGCGCTCTACCACTGAGCCACCTTCCCAGCCCTAGTTTTGCTTTTAAACTCTGAAGAAGTCACTGGGCCTCCTTACATGTGACCATTTCCAAAGTGAGAGGCCCAGGGGAGTTCTGGAGGAGGGTTCTAGATGAATTGCCTTTCAACAAGTCCTTCTGGCTAGCGCTGTATCACTTGAGCTACTGAGCCACTTCCAGTTTTCTGGTGTTTATTGGAGATAAGAGTTTCACAGGGTGGGGGGTGGGGGAGTGAGGAGGGGAGGGCTGGGGGGGGGGCGCTGGGAAGGTGGCTCAGTGGTAGAGTACTTGCCTTGCATGCCTGAGGCCCTGGGTTTGATTCCTCAGCACCACATAAGCAGAAAAAAGCCAGAAGTGGGGCTGAGGCCCTAGTGGTAGAGCGCTAGTCTATAGCTGAAGAGCTAAGGGACAGCACCCAGGCCCAGAGTTCAGGCCCCACGACTGACAAAAAAAAAAAAAAAGAAAGAAAAGTTTCACGGACTTTCCTGCTGGGCTGGCTTCAAACCGTGATCCTCAGATATCAGCCTCCTGAGTAGCTAGGATTACAGGTGTGAGCCATCAGCTAGTACTGAGTTTTGAACTTGGCATTGTACTTGCCAAGCAGGTGCTCTACTACTTGAGCCACATCCTCAGCCTTTTTTGGGGTTGGTTATTTTTTATCTTAGGATCTTAGGTTATTAGGATCATGCTTATAGACCCAGACCAGCCAGTAATGTGATTCTCCTACTTGTGCTTTCCTTTGTTGTCTGAATGACAAGTGCATGCCACTGCACCCAGCCATGAGTTGAGATGGGAATCTTATAAATTTTTATACCTGGGCTGACCTTGAACTGATCTCTACTTCCCAAGTAGCTAGGATTATAGGTTTGAGCTATCTTACCCAGCCGAATAGGTCCTTTCAGAATGGACATTGCGGTTCATGGGTAAGTGGGGTGTGGTAGTTGCTGGTCCCTCACTTCTCTGAGTCAGAGGAGCTCATCAGAGGTCAGAATTTTCAGCCCTGAGCTTCAGTTACATGATATCTGAGGAAGACCCATGATTTCTTGCCCATTTTGTGCTCCAGTCACTTGCCCTTTCCTTTAAAGGATCTTTCCTGCTACTCTGAGAGACAGAGAGAGAGAGTGTGTGTGTGTGTGTGTGTGTTATTTTTTGAAAGCTCTTGCATTTTTGAAAGCCCTTGCATTTTGCCTGGGTTATCCTAAACTGTGATCCTCCTCTTTATGTTTGGATAACAGGTGTGAACCACCATGCCTAGCTTTTATTGGTTGAGATGGAGTCTTGAAGACTTTTTTTTCTCTGACTGGCCCCAGATCTCATCATCCTGACCTCCACTTCCTATGTAACTAAGGGTTTTGGGTATGAGCCACTACATCCAGCTCAGTTTCTAATTTTGGCCAAGTCTACTTTATCAGCTTTGATCTTTTGTTAGTTATGTTTTGGTGTTACGTCTGAAAAGTCTTGGCCTAACCCACAGACATGAAAATTTTCTCCTCTATTTTCCTCCAAGTGTTCTGTAGTTTAACTTGTACATTTAGGTTTACATTTCATTTCTAATCAGTGAGTACATGCTATGAGTTCGGGGACTGGCATTGTTCTTTATTTTTTTTTTGTCGGTTGTGGGACCTGAACTCTGGGCCTGGGCGCTGTCCCTCAGCTCTTTAGCTCAAGGCTAACACTCTACCACTTGAGCCACAGTGCCACTTCTGGCTTTTTCTGCTTATATGGTGCTGAGGAATCAAACCCAGGGCCTCATGCACCCAAGGCAAGCACTCTACCACAGAGCCATCTTCCCAGCCCCTGGCTTTATTCTTTGAGTGTGGTTTCTCCATTGTCTATCACAAAGCCCTCTTTGGGTCCACATGGTATGGACTACTCCCACGCTACATAGTGTTAGGAAATCAGAGCTACTTACAGGATTACATGTTGTGATTTGGGAGCAATCCATGAAGAAGACAGATTGAAGAAACTCCAACTCCTTGTGAGCATGTGAAGGAAAATTTGGAGATGCTCAGGGCTGGTAAATACTCCCTGAACTGAGCCTATAGGCCAGAGAGGATTTGGATGAGACGTCCTCAGTAATGAGTTCCAGCAGCTTGGAAGGTGCCCAAGAGGCTGTTGATTGATACGGTGAGGTAAGAGCATCTAAACCACTGCAGGAAGACAGAGTACGCCATGCTCTCTGGTGCAGGACTGTACGGCAGCTGCCCGTGTGCAGGGATCCTGCAGCTTTCTGATGCCAGAGATCTTCCTTGTGATTGCATTCAATGTTGGCAGAAGGGCATGATGTGTTTGTGGAGGGGGGTTGCTAGTTCCAGGCATCACTCACACCTCAACCATGGCCATGTCTGTGAACATGATCCTTTTTCCTTTTTTCTATTTTTTTGGCCATGCTTGGAATTTAGGGTCTCATTCCTCCTTTTCTTTTCTTTCCTTTTTTTTTTTTGGTACTGGGGCTTGAACTCAGGGCCTGGGCACTATCCTTAGCTTTTTCACTCAAGGCTGGTACTCTACCACTTGGGCCATACCTCCACCTCTGGCTTTTAAAAAAATATATAATTTTATTATTAAGTTGTTGTACAGAGAAGTTACCATTTTATAAGTTAGGTAATGAGTATATATTTCTCTTTGGACAATGTCATCCCTTCCTTCCACTTTTGGCTTTTTGATGGTTAATAGTGATAAGAGTCTTGTGGATATATCTGTCTGGACTGGTTTTATACTATGATCTTCAGATTTCAGCCTCCTGAGTAGCTAAGGTTATAGGAATCAGCCACTACTTCCTGGCTCGAAGTCTTTTTCTTAATTAGCATTTGTTTTAAAACATGGGTATGTACTCTAGTAGATTTGTATTTGGATTCATCCCTTCCAGTGAGTGAAACTTCCACAGAGGGTTGTGGGCAAGCTGGAGAGTGGTCAGGGTTAGAGCAAAATGTGTTGTTTTTGTTTTTTGTTTTTTTGGTTGGTTGTGGGGCTTGAACTCAGGACCTAGGCACTGTCCCTCAGGTTTTTCTCTCAAGGCTAGTTCTCTACCACTTTGAGCCACAGCTCTACTTCTGGTTTTCTAGAGGTTTTTTAGAAACAAGAGTTTCATGGACTTTCCTGCTTGAGCTGGCTTCAAACTGTGATCCTCAATCTTAGTTCCTGAGTAGCTAGGATTACAGCTGTGAGCACCAGTATCTGGCTACAATGTGTTTTTTGAGTTGCATCTTTTAGATGCTCATGTGATCAAAGTTCAAGTTGTTCACCAATATGTGGTCATTTGATAATCATTACTGAGCTCACATGCTGTCTTGGAAAATCCTTTTTTTTTTTTGATATTGGGGATTATATCAGGGCCTTGTGCCTACTCTAGACATGCCTCCATGTCTTTTGCTTTTTTTTTTTTTGCCAGTCCTGGTGCTTGAACTCAGGGCCTGGGCACAGTCCCTGAACTTCTTTTGATCAAAGTTAGCACTCTGCCACATTAAACCACAGCACTACTTCCAGCTTTCTGGTGGTTAATTGGTGATAGGAGCCTTATAGACTTTCCTGTTTGGGCTGGCTTTGAACCTTGATCCTCAGATCTCAGACTCCTGAGTATAAGGATTACAGGTGTGAGCCACCAGTGCCCAGCTCAACTCTTGTCTCTTCAGTACATATATGTTTTCATTTTTGTTGGGCATCTTTCTAGCAGTAGAACTGTTGCATTATAAGGTAGCTTTGTACCTTGTTCAGAGGATCTGCCCTAGTTTTGTGGATATAGCCACTGCAAATGTATGGAATTTTCTTATCTGGCCAACGTGTGTGTGTGTGTGGGGGGGGGTGTATTGAAGCTGGAACTCAGGGTCTCATGCTTAATTGGCTGGTGTTCTACCATTTGAGCCACACCCCAGTCTGGTATCTTGCTGATTATTTTGTTGCTGGAATCTCATGGACTTTTCTCTCAGAGCTGGCTTTTAATGCCAATCCTCTGGATCTCAGCCTCCTGACTAGCTAGGATTATAAGCATGAGCTACTGATGTCTGCCTTGTGATTAACTTTTAAACATTTTTTTATTTTTTATTAAGATCATTACTTTGTGATGTCTTCCTGTGGTTACAGTTTGTATTTCCCTGGTGGTTATTGGCGTTGGGCATCTTTTTATATGCTATTGGCATTAGTACCTTTTTTTCCCCCCTCCTTTGGAAGTACTGGGATTTGAACTCAGGGTTGCCAGACTGGTTGCTTTACCACTTGAGCTATATCCCCAGCACCTTTTGCTTTTGTTATTTTGGAGATAGGGTCTCCCCTTTATGCCTGGGGCTAGCCTGGAACCTCAGTTCCCCTTTGTATGAATTTATATAGCCAGGATGAGAGATGTGTGCTGCCACACCCAGCTTATTATTGGTTGAGATGGAGTCTTACTAACTTTTTGTCTGGGCTGCCCTGGAACTATGATCTCCCTTCTCAGCATCCTCCATACCCTCAAGGATTACTAGTGTGGGCCAGTGGTTTTTTGCACATCTTTGGTATAACATCTCTGTAAGCCTTTGCCCCTTCTTCAGTGGCTCCCTCACGCTTGAGTTGTGTTCTGTTTGTTTTCACTAATGGGCAAGTGGGTGATACCTCCTCATAGTGATTCTTTGGGGGAGATCAATGTGCATCTCAGTGCTGGCTCCACAGAGTGGGCAAGGTAATGTCTTGATGGGGGTGGTTCTAGCCACGTGCCATGGCCAGAGTCCACGAGTTGAGTCAGCAGGGCTGCTGGGAGGCCCCATGAACTGAGCAACTGGCCCTATTGGGTGTTCACCTTCTCTCTCCCACAGGCCTGCCAATGCCCCAGGACATTGAGCACAGGCTCTCCGATTCCAGTCGAATGCAGCGGCCCCAGGGGAACCCGCTGCTGCTGTCCTACAGCCTGCAGGAGCTGCTGGCCCGTGATACTGTGCAGGTGGAGCTCATCCCCGAGAAGAAGGGCCTCTTCCTCAAGCATGTGGAGTATGAGGTTTCCAGCCAGGTACCTGGGAGCTGTGTGGAGGGGGAGCTTGGGACAGTTCCAGGCCAGAGTGGCAGGGAGGGCAGACATTGCGCAGGCTCAACAGGTTCCCCTTTAGCTTCCTGCTGTGGGGGCACCCAGTGTCAGAGCCTGATAGATGCAGCACCGAGGCAGCAGGCGCCGTGCTCTACCTGGCATGGGCAGTTTGGCCTTTCAGCATCTTGGTTCACTTAGGATGGGTTTGGAGGGACTTTTGTTCTTTCCTCTTAGTTGGAGGTTGTTAGGCCCACCTTCTCCCTCCCCCCCCACCCCCCCAAGGAGCCCTGGGTTTGCAAGGTCAATGTGGAGCCACACCCCTGAGAAGGGGAATGGAGGGGAAGGCAATCCTGGTGCTACCAAGAGTTCTTGGGAAAAAGGCTTTTGGACATCTGGTCCCAGGACAAAAGTGAGCAGATGTCTTGTCATGGCAGGCTGCAGTGAGTCTCGCAGCCTGGGGCTGCACTACCTTCTGCTGGGAGAAAGGCTGGAGGTGAAGGCAGAACCGCTGCCTCTGGAGCACTTCAGGGACAAGGAAGCTCTCACCGTGGCTTGATTACTATGTGCTCACTCTGTGGCTATAGCTGTGGCTGGTGCAGAAAGCCTTTTTTCCCCCAGGACAGGAGGGCCTCATTGCAGGAAGCTGCCACTTAACTCTAGTAGCTAGCTTCTGGACTTTCATCCATACTTTTTGTTTATTTTGAGATAGTCTGGGTCTGGAGCTCATGATCTTCCTACCTCTGCTTCCCAAGTACTGGGATTACAAGAATGCACCACCATACCTGACTCTTCCAGGCTTTTTGAGCTTTGGTCCCTTAAATAGATGGAGTCCCATGATGAAGGCCTTCTGCCCAGGCACCTGAGAGTGGATGTCCACCTACTCACTAGAGCCAGTGGCAGTGTTATAGCAGTTTTCCTCTGTCTGTGTCCTTCTTGCTACTTGTCTGTATGAGTCTGCAAGATGTAGGCAGGGGTGGAGTGGATATCCTGAGCACACATGGAGATGTAGGTTTTATGTAGTCAATTGGTACTTTGTTTAATTAACTAATTCATTTATTTGTGGTACTGGGGTGTGAACTCAAGGCCTTTGACTTGTGTTTGCTAGATACCACTTGAGCCGCACTGCCAGAGAAGGTTGCAGTTGAGGCCAGCCTAATCTAAAGCTTGAGACCCTCTTTGAGAAATTAAAAGCAAAAGGGTCAGGGGTATAGCTTAAGTAGTAGAGCACCTCTCTAGCAAGTGTGAGTCCCCAAGTTTAATCCCCAGTACAGAAAAATAGAAAGGAAAAATGTCTTATCAAGACAAAGAGCTATTCACACTTTAAAAACTATGTTTCATATATGAAAGCATTAGAGGATTTTTATTTTTGGTAAAGGCCTGCAGCGCAAGGATGAGGAATTGGGGTGTTGTTTCTGTGGTTTCTGTTGCATGGTGGGAGAACGAAAGAGGGTGATGAACTCTTGGTTTCTGATGTGTAGTCTGATCACTGAACTCTCATTTTGTAGCGCTTCAAGTCCTCTGTGTATAGACGTTACAATGACTTCGTGGTGTTCCATGAAATGCTGCTCCACAAGTTCCCATACCGCATGGTGCCAGCCCTTCCACCCAAGAGAATGCTGGGAGGTGAGGTGGTGCAAGCTCCCTGGTGGGGTGGAGAGGGCAGAATTGAGCCTTTCTCCTGGAGGAGGGCTGTTATATCTCATTGTGGACTCTAATCTTTCCAGTGCTCCTGCCTTACAGTCAGTATAGGTTGGTCAAAAGGCCTTGGTAGACATAAACCTCTAGCCATCCTATGACGAAAGGGGGGGGACTGGCTTTTAGCATCCTTGGTCCAGTGGTTCCTTTTGGCAGGATAACTTGAGATGCAGGGAGTGCTTGAAACCAGGTTTTTAGACCCAGGCCTAAAGTCCAGGAGTGCCATGTTAGGTCCAGATACTTATCCTCATATACCAGACATGGAGAAGGGCAGAGAAAGATTTACTCCAAGGCAGCCATGGGAAGATAGCACTTTAGTACATGTTCAGCATATAGACATTGGCTTCATAAATAAGGAACATTGGGGATGGGGTGAGAAAGGAATGAGAGAGTTAATGCAGTTCCAGGTCAGAGTGTGGCCTGGTTGACCAGCAACTCAGTCTTTATCTCTGGAGAAGTTGTTAGCTCTTTAGAACTGAACTGGGAACTGGAACAAGTTGCCTGGTGGTTGGTCTGCTGAACTTTTGGCTGTTCTGTTTTAGATAAGAAGGCCTTTTCTGTGGAAGGGGCAGCTGGTCTTCTGTCACAAGATACTTATCTGTAACTCCTGTTCTTCCTGGAGCTCAAGTAAAGTGACTGCGGCAGGGAACAGCTCAGATCAAAGAGCACAGATCCCAAGTTGGGGGCTGGGTGTCCAGTTCTTAGTTAATTTGCAGGCCTAGAAAAAGCAGCTTTTTGGCAGTCTTTTATACTCTCCCTCACCCCCAATTGAGTTTGAAGCTTTTTCAGTCTTGAGGGAATTAGGCTTCCATGGTAAGACAAAGAGCTGGAATGTAAGTAAAAAGTACTTGTAGCTGGGCGCTGGTGGCTCACGCCTGTAATCCTAGCTACTCAGGAGGCTGAGATCTGAGGATCGCAGTTCAAAGCCAGCCCAGGCAGGAGAGACCGTGAGACTCCTATCTCCAATAAACCACCAGAAAACCGGAAGTGGCGCTGTAGCTCAAGTGGTAGAGCGCTCGCCTTGAGCTGAAGAGCTGAAGGACAGTGCCCAGGCCCAGAGTTCAAGCCCCACGACCGACAAAAAAAAAAAAAAAAAGTACTTGTTTAAGCCTAAAACTAAGCTGGGTGCTGGTGGCTTACGCCTGTAATCCTAGTTACTCAGGAGGCTGAGATCTGAGGATCATGGTTCAAAGCCAAGCCGGGCAGGAAAGTCTGTGAAACTCTTATCTCCAGTAAACCACCAGAAAACTGGAAGTGGTGCTCTGGCTCAAGTAGTAGAGTGCTTGCCTTGAGCTGAAGAACTGAGGAACAGTGCCCAGGCCCAGAGTTCAAGCCCTACAACTGACCAAAAAAAAAAAAAAAAAGCCGGGGCTGGGAAGGTGGCTCAGTGGTAGAGCGCTTGCCTTGCATGCCTGAGGCCCTGGGTTCGATTCCTCAGCACCACATAAGCAAAAGAAAAAAAGCCAGAGTGGCGCTGTGGCTCAAGTGGTAGAGCGCTAGCCTTGAGTTGAAGAGCTAAGGGACAGCGCCCAGGCCCAGAGTTCAGGCCCCACGACTGGACCCAAAAAAAAAAAAAAAGCCTAAAACTAGAAACACTATTATAAAGCAGAACATAGAGGAAAAAAGTCAGGACTGCTGGGCTTTTCTTGCCTGTAATCCTACCTACTCAGGAGGCTGAGATCTGTAGATGGCGATTCAAAGCCAGCCTGGGCAGGAAAGTCTGTGAGACTCTTTATCTCTGACTAACCAGTAGAAAATCAGAAGTGGTGTTGTGGCTCCAAGTGGTAAATCACTAGCCTTGAGCAGAAGAGCTGAGGAACAGTGCCCAGTTCAAAGCCCCATAACTGACATAACTGACAAGAAAAAGAAAGAAAAAAAGAAAAAGAAAGAAAGAAAGAAGGAAAGAAAGAAAGAGAAAGAAGAAAAGAAAGAAGATCAGGACGCCCAATGAAATACATTGTATAGGAGGCCTTTGCCAAAAGATAGCAGTTTGCTTTTTGTCAGTGGAATCCCTGGAAGGGCTTGAAGACAGATGGCCATGTATGTATAAAGAAGCCTCTTAAATCTGTTGGGCTTTGTTTATTTTTGGAAGGGCCTTCACAAGTGACTCCATGTGAATTTTGACAATTTCCCCTATTATTCGATCAGTTTTTCTCAAACTGTCTCTGAAGAGCTTTCTGAAGATTTTGCCAATTAAACACTCTGCAGCTCTTCAGAGTTCCTTGTTGCTGGGATTAGCTTTTTCTCAGAGGATCTGGTCTTGTTCCCTGTAGGAAGGGAAGGGAAGGGCAGGGCAGGGCATATCTGAGTCAGTACAAATTGAAAGCATAAAAAAATTAAGGCTGGCTTACCTGACATTTCATTAAGTCTAATTGTCCTAGAAGCAAATGTCCTAGCATCTCAAAATTCTGCCCAGGTTGCTCTTGTTAGAGACTGTCCTGCAGAATGTCAGCAGACCATGTCTTTAGAGTTTTGCAAGAAGAAATTTTTTTTTTGGGGGGGGGCCTCCGGTCATGGGGCCTGAACTCTGGGCCTGGGCGCTGTCCCTCAGCTCTTCAGCTCAAGGCTAGCGCTCTACCACTTGAGCCACGGCGCCACTTCCAGCTTTTTTTTCTTTTGCTTATGTGGTGCTGAGGAATCAAACCCAGGGCCTCATGCATGCAAGGCAAACGCTCTACCACTGAGCTACCTTCTCAGCCCCAAGAAGAATTTTTTATTTTTATTTTTTTGTTGGCATGGGCACTGTGCCTGAGCTCTTTTGCTCAAGGCTAATGCTCTCCTACTTTGAACCACAGTGACACTTCTGTTTTTCTGGTGGTTAATTGGAGTTAAGAGTCTCATAGACTTTCCTACCTGGGCTGACTTCCAACCAGGATCCTCAGATCTCAGCCTCCTGAGTAGGTAGGATTACGGACATGAGTCATCAGCGCCTGGCTAGAGTCATTTTTAATGTGATCATCTGCAAATGCTCCAGAGAAGGGCCAAAACTGTCATGCTGGCAAATTCTTTAAAGCACTATAGCAATTGACAGAACAGTGTCCTTCCTCCCATTGTACACTGCAAGTTAGGATAACGATGATGATTGACAGTATTACACTAGCAGGTACTGTCCTTCTGACATGAGTAAAAGACTTGATCACTGACAGTTTTAAGTTAGAGGGGATATTTGCTTGGTAAAGTTTTTCTCTAAGCTTTACATTCTAGACTTCTATACTTAGGGAGCCTGAATACATTGAACATATGAAGAAGCCAGCAACAGTTAGTGTCAATTACACACATGTCACACATACCCATTTCTGTAGTTTTACTCCTGGAGCAAAATTTAGGATCTTTGTCTTAGTAAGACATCACAGACCCCTGTCTCTTACAAGTCAGAGGGAACAGTTCCAGAGCCCTAAATATTCTTTAATTTCTTGTATAAGTGCAACTTATGTATACAGTAACACTCATTTAATTAAGACCAGTAGATGTAAGGCCAGATTTTAAATAGCAGGATTGTACAGATGGAATGGTAGTGTGTGTGTATGTGTATGTGTGTATGTGTGTCCATTCATCCTAGGGCTTGAACTCAGGGCCTGGGTGCTATCCCTCAAGCCTTTTTTTTTTTTTGGGTCCCGTCATGGGGCCTGAACTCTGGGCCTGGGCACTGTCCCTCAGCTCTTCAGCTCAAGGCTAGCACTCTACCACTTGAGCCACAGTGCCACTTCTGGCTTTTTTCTTTTTGCTTATGTGGTGCTGAGGAACCGAACCCAGGGCCTCATGCATGCAAGGCAAAAGCTCTACCACTGAGTCACCTTCCCAGCCTCACCTCAAGCTTTTTTATTGTTCAAGGCTAGTGCTCTGTCACTTGAACCACAGCTCTACTTCTGGCTTTTTCATGGTTAACTGGAAATAAGGGTCTTACTTTTCTTCCTGAGCTAGCTTGGAATCATGATCCTCACATCTCAGCCTCTTGAATAGTTAGGATTACAGGGGTGAGTCACTGGTGCCCAGCCCAGTGGCAGAGTTTTTATCTTCAACATACTTATTACCAACAGCAGAAATGCTAAAAATTTTTACTGACCATTTTATCTCCTTTAGGTCAGACACAGTAGATTAGTAGCATTAGCTGCTTATTTCACCTGTACTAAACTTGCATGCTTTGGCTCTCTAACTATGTTTAGGTCAATAATTCAGTTAAGAACACTTAAAGCAGTTTGTTTTTCCACAGTTGTAAATTACTCACTTACAAGACTTCCAGCTGGGGGCTGGGAAGGTGGCTCAGTGGTAGAGCGCTTGCCTTGCATGCATGAGGCCCAAAAAGCCGGAAGTGGCGCTGTGGCTCAAGTGGTAGAGCGCTAGCCTTGAGCTGAAGAGCTAAGGGACAGCACCCAGGCCCAGAGTTCAGGCCACACGACTGGACCCAAAAAAAAAAAAAAAACAAGACTTCCAGCTGGGCACTGGTGGCTCATGCCTGTAATCCTAGCTACTCAGGAAGCTGAGATCTGAGGATCATGGTTCAAAGCCAGTCCAGGCAAGGAAAATCCATGAGACTCATCTCCAATTAACCACCAGAAAACTGGAAGTGGCGCTGTGGCTCAATTGGTAGAGCTCTTGAATTGAACTGAAGAGCTCAGGGACTGAGCCCAGGCCCAGAGTTCAAGCCCCACAACCAACCAAAAACAACAACAACAAAAGACTTCTAGCTGGGTACTAGTGGCTAAAACCTGTGATCCTAGCAACTCGGGAGGCTAAGATGTAAGGATCATAGTTTCCAGGTAGGAAAGTCTGTGAGACTCTTACCTCCAGTTAACTGCCAGAAAGCAGCAAGTGGAGCTGTGGCTCAAAGTAGTAGGACACTAGCTTTGAGCAGAAGAGCTCAGGTGTCCAGCACTCAGGCCCTGAGGTTTAATTTTAAGCCCTACAACTGACCAAAAAACCTAAAAAACTTACATATAGACAAGTAGTTAAATGAACTCTGATTTAGTTATGATTCAGTTTTCTAGGTAGTTAAAAGCCTGACAAAGAAATGTATTGATCAAGTATAAAAAATTTTACACTAATTTTTGCAAGTATTACTAAGGGCAGAGCCAGAATGGTATTTGAAGACCATCTTCAAGGTTTTAGTTTTGTATCTGTACATTAAATTTTGACCTTATGAATTCTGTGGCTTGTAGATTATAGCCAATTTCATCACATACCTAGAAAAAGTTATTTTATTTTTGGTGCTGGTACTGGGACTTGAACTCAGGGCATTGTGTATTTGCTTGGCTTTTTCACTCCACGCTGACACTTTACCATGTAAGCTACGCCTCACTTCCAGTATTTTGCTGGTTAATTGCAGATAAGAGTCTCTTGGATTTGTCTGGATTTGTTCAACTTACATCCTTAGATTTCAGCTTCCTGAATAGCTTGAATTATATGTGTGAGCCACTGGCATTTGGCTTCTATATCTTTTTTTTTTTTTGGGTTGGTCGTGGAGCTTGAACTCTGGGCCTGGGTGCTGTCCCTCAGCTCTTCAACTCAAGACGAGCACTCTACCACTTAGCTACAGCGCCACTTCTGGTTTTCTGGTGGTTTATTGGAGATAGGAGTCTCACAGTCTTTCGTGCCTGGGCTGGCTTTGAACCGTGATCCTCAGATCTCAGCCTCCTGAGTAGCTAGGATTACAGGCGTGAGCCACCAGTGCCCGGCTTCTGGCTTCTATATCTTTTTTTTTTTGGGGGGGGGGTCCGGTCGTGGGGCCTGAACTCTGGGCCTGAGTGCTGTCCCTCAGCTCTTCAGCTCAAGGCTAGCGCTCTACCACTTGAGCCACAGCGCCA